GCAGGAGTGTGCCTCCAAGGCGCTGCTCAAATGAAAACTGCCAAGTGCAGTACCTTCCAGATTCAGTGCAACCACATGGTAGTTAGATGATTTCCTTCACTTGTCTTGAAAGTCAGATTAAAATATCAATCCCTGACCTACTTCCTCCTTTCACTTGTTTTTGTTAGATCTTTTGAATCCATAAAGTCCTCACCCCATCTGGGACTAAAACAAACCAAAACAAAAGCAATCCTGCAACTTCATGTATGTCTTAGGATGCTTTTAATTGCAAGCAATAGAGACCTGACTCAAAGAAACTTAATCTAGAAAGCAGTGTAATAGTTTATGTAACAGGAAGTACAAGTTCAGGTGGCTTTAGAAATGGTTGCTTGTTCTAGCAGTTCAATAACATCATCAGAGTTCCAGATTCTTTGCCTATTTTTGTTGTTCTGCCTTGAGAGCATCAGGTCTCTCCTAAGCCTGCTCCTGCCATCATAGTTATCAACCATCCTGGTTTGCTTTGAATACCCAGTTTATGCCTTAGGCCCTTACATAATTAGTAATATCAACCCCTTTTACCCTCAGTAGTGCACCAGTTTATATAATCAAGTATATGGACACCTGCATCATGTTTTTACTGACAGTTCCAAATGGGGTTTCATTATCTTCTTGTTCATTGGGAGAGGGAGGGTGGCTCTCCTATAAAGAACTTACCCATGATACTCCCAGAAAATCTCTTCCCTGGTCTATTTGGTCCAAATTATAGCGGGAGGGATGCCATCTGTTGCAGATCAAATAGACCCCATACTAAAGCTAGGATTAAATTCTAAGGTATATGGCTTTGTAGGAAAGGGATGGATATCTGAACAACATTGTGGTTCTGTTAGGAAAGAGGAATGGGGAATGCAGAATGGGGCAGCCACAAGCAGAGCCCTTCATAATGAGCCTTTGACACTTTGACAATTTCTCACAATCCTGTGAAATCAAATGCTCTCCTGGCTGTGAGACTAGACAGAATTACAACTGGACTAAAAGAAACCAGTGCAAAGCAGGGCCAGTTCATATATAAAATCATGGCATAATACAGTTCACATTAGAAGTCTCCGTTCTATCAAAATGATTAAAATCTTTCTCTTACCCCACAGGCTCTGAAAATTCCTTAGCTAAAAATGCCATCCTTAAATATAATAATTTTAAAATGTTGTTCTTGCTGGACTGTTCCTCTGAATGTTTTCCATTCTCTTTCCCTAAGCCTAGGTTTGATTTCAGTCCTCTGTGCTTTAATTACCCTTTGCATTTTTTCCAGTATTAACCCTTTTTCATTGTGATTATGTGTTTAAATGTCCACCTGCATTCAGTCACTCAATCATCTAGTAAATATGATTGACCATTAAAATTTTTAAAAAGAATTTCTATTTTAAATACATTATTCAGCTTCAGTAAAATATAGACCTCTTAAGAATTTTGTGAAAGCAATGGACCATTTCCCCCAAAGACATTCATACCCATGAGCACTAAATTGGCATTACACCTTCAAGGCTTCTAGGAACTCCTAGAGAAATTCACAATGATTCTCATGCAGATCAGATCAGATCAAATCATGTTGGTATGGTCAAGGGTGATGGGCTCAGCCATCAACTTAAGTCACATATGTCTTCTGCAGAGCTCATCAATACACACTGGTTCAGCTAACACCCAGGACTTAACGGCATCCAAATCTAGGTCTCCAGCTTAGATTTTGAACTCCAGGCCTGTTCTTGCAAATGCCTACTGGACTTCTCTCTGTGACTACCCAAGATATACTTTCAACTCAAGATGTACTAACCAGCCCTAACCGGTTTTGCTCAGTGGATAGAGCGTTGGCCTGCGGACTGAAGGGTCCTAGGTTCGATTCCAGTCAAGGGCATGTACCTTGGTTGCTGGCACATCCCCAGTAGAGGGTGTGCTGGAGGCAGCTGATTGATGTTTCTCTCTCATCAGTGTTTCTAACTCTCTATCCCTCTCCCTTCCTCTCTGTAAAAATCAATAAAATATATTTTTTTAAAAAAGATGTAGTAACCAAAACTCCCTGGAGCACACATTGGTGGTTCACTACCCACATCCTTTGGATGCTACCATTTCTTTTCTTTTCTTTTTTAAATTGCTACCATTTCAACATGCTCCACAGATACCGAAGCTGCCAACCAGTATCCTTTCCCTATACCTGAAAAAGACTCTCTGCCAATACTGGGTGGCAGGTTGAAATTGCCAGAAAATCATCACCCTCTGAGTGGGACAATTCTGAAGTGGGTGTTTTGTATCATGTCCAAGAGTTTGTCTGTAAGATTAACCTCCACTTGCCCATGGTAGTAATTGGCCTCTATTGGCTGTCATCCTTCTGTTTCCCTTTCCCACACCCCTACCACTGTTTCCTTCACCTTACAAATCAACTTTCTGCACTTGAATCTTTGTTTCAGGATTTGCTTCTGGGGGAACCTATGACATTCATCATTTCCAGCTACAAATCTAATTCTCTTCCCAGGGACCTGTATCTCTCTGACCACACCCCCACCCACCTTGTCATATGATTCAGAAAGCCAGGTGTAAGTCACCGTATTTCCTCCATCATTATTCCTGTTGATCGTATGCCCTGAGTACCACTTGAGTCAAGTTCAAACCCTTCATCTCTGTTGACACTGCCTTGATTCAACTGGGATCATTGCCACAGTCTCTCTCACCTGGTCTCCATGCTGCCAACCTTACCTCTCTCCTATCAGCACTTCACACCCACCATCAGAGTGATCATTCCTCAACCCAAATCTTTCCTGGTCACTCACTCCCTTGCTTCAAGTCCTTCAATGACTCCCCACTGACTACAAAAAGCTCCTTTACAGAACAGACCAGGGAATCTCAAATGACCTCTACCTTCCCCTGTCCCCACCCCCACCACTATTCTTCACAGACTACTCTAGCAGTTTGCAGCCTCCTTTGTATCCAAGCTTTGGTGCCTGCCATTCCCTTCACTTGTAATGGCTTTCCCTCACTTTAAAAAACTCCTATTCATCTCTCAATGCTCAACTCTTGTCACCCTCCATGTGCAATCTTTTCTACTGCCCTCATGCCATTCCCTACCCCTTCCAAGTACAAGCATAGGCCCCTCCTTTGGTGTTCATCTGGCCCATTTTTAACTCCTCATGTACCACATGGTGTCACATTGTATTATTAACACTTTATTTACTGGTCTGTGAGCTCCTTGGGGTCAACAACCCTCCATTAACCATCTCACTAATCACAGTCCTTAGCTCAGTGACTGCCATACAGCAGGTGCTTAAATGATGATTATTGGATAAATGAGGGAATGACCCATCTACATGACAAGTATGTTGAAAACTAGATTATGAGAAGATGCTATATTAGAGAAGCAGAATAGATATAAAAGAATCAGATCTGAAATAAAAAATTTCTTCAGTCCTAATTTAAAATCACAAAATATTAGAATTACATATCTCAAAAATCACCCTGAGCAACTCTGGAAATTTTGTTGTTGTTGTTTTCTTCTGTTGGGTATATCCTTTCTTACCTCCATTTTCTTAGTCATCCCTTTAACTGTATGAACACAATTCTTCCATATTAATGTCTTTATTCTGTCCCAAAACATCTCCTTTACCCCAATCCAGATCCTCTCTTCCTGGACTCCTCTTTTTCTCTTCTCTCTGCAAAGGCAGCCATGATGAAAATACAGAGGGGTGCCACTGTACATTTCTTTGGGAATGGGGGCCATGATACCTATTTATTATGCATTAATCTGAATCAATATAGTATTTCCTAAAAATATAAGCATTTCAAAGGGCAGCAAATATGAATCACAATTGCCAGTGAGGTTCAAACATGAACCCAGGGTTGTGATGAGGCCAACAAAAGAAATAAAGCTAGTAATTGCTTTCCAGGATATCAATCCCTACCTTTTACACACATGCCCCTCAACACACACAAAACCTTTATGGATCTTTCATCCATGAACTTGCCCTATTATAATTGCCTAGCTATGTCTTTAGTTGTATTCAGGCTACATCCTGGTAACTGAGCCCTCACATACCTGATCAGAACAGTTATGAGATCCATAGAGGAAGTCTGTGGTTACTGAAGTGGTTGAAGACATTCACAGACAAATATCTCCATAAGTATCATTAGTTAATCACAGCTCATTTAAAACCCAAGAGCTTGGCCAGGCCTGTGTGGCTCAGTGATTAAACATTGACCCATGAACCAGAAGGTCACTGTTGGATTCTCAGTTAGGGCACATGCCTGGATTGTGGGCTCATTCCCAGTATCAGGAGTGCAGGAGGCAGCCAACCAATGATTCTCTCTCATCATTGATGTTCTATCTCTCTCCCTCTCCCTTCCTCTCTGAAATCAATAAAAACATATTTTGAAAAATAAATAATTAAAACCCGAGAGCTTGATTGAAAAAAAGTAGGAACTGGTCCTTTCTGCTGATGTTCATTATTATCAATTCTTAAACTTGCACTGTGTGTCTTTCTGCTCTTATATTGATTGGGCACTTCTTAATTTGATTCTTCTTTTTCATAAGAGGAAATTTAGTATTAAGAAATGATATCAATAGGGCTGACTTCTCTGTTAGGGGCAGTAGGCACAGTGCCTGAGGCCCACAAAGCTTTTAGGGGCCCATGGAAATGTTTTAATTTCATTTAAAATCAGAAGAAAAAGTGATCTTTTAGGTTGAAGAAAATGTTTTAATATATAATATTAATATATTTATCTTTACAACAGTGCAATTGAAAAAAATGTAATTTTTACTGTTTTATGGAGGAAGGGGTCCACAAAGGCAAAGTGTGCACGAAAGTCATAGTGAGGCCCTTCTTTCTACCACATTATGCTCATAACACAGCAAGGCTAGAATAGAGCCTTTTAAACACAAGTTAAGGTTCCCATATTAATTATAAACTTGCCAGGCTGCTCTCTATGTATTTCTGTTTGGCCATCCCACTTCTACAAGAGGTTAAGTCATGGTTACTACTCACAGCATTGGGACAGCTCTCTGCTCTGATTAAAATCATTTCTGCTCTGCCATTCTCTCAAAAATCTTCATCCTGTTTTAATGAGCAGAAAAATAATCTTTACATCTTTAAGGATTAATTAAACCAATGTAGTTACTTCCTTTGCACTGTTAAAACATTTATAGTATTTGGTTTTCTATTTTGTTTTAAAATGATCAATAGTAGTAATGATACTTATTATTTATATACTGGTTAGGGACCATATATTCATCATCTCTGAAACTCCAGTTCTTAGCTCAGTGTCTGGCAAATACTAGGTGCTTAATAAATGTTAGATTAATAAATGAATTGCCTCTAAAGCAATTACGTGGAAATGAAATTATGTCCGTGGACTAATATTGTCTTTAATAATCTCACACCTTGTGAGAAGGGTCTTCGACATGTATCACAATTGGCATTTTAGAATGTCATCGCTGGACCCTTCCCACTTCTCCCACCTTCATCAGCCAGACACTTCTTCTCCATCCTGGGGTCTGGAATGGTCCCTAGCCTGCTGGGAGGTGGCAGGGTCGTGCTCCACCCCCCACTCCCACCCAGAGCCCCGGAGCCTCTTCCTGCTACCAATCCGAGCCACCTACAGCCACGCCCTCCCCATGGGCTAGATCACCTGTCCCTCCTCCGCCACAGCCTCTTTGGGT